TGGTTGTATTTGTCAATTTTCGCGATAATATGTATTTACTTAATTTTGAAGGGCATTTACGCGTTCATTTTAAAAATTGCAGTAGTGATACAAATAGTTCCTTGTATTCAATATCTATATGGGGGAAAGGACTTGAAATTTTTAGCAGAAATTTGATTTTATTATCAATGAATAATAATCAAAGTAAAAGAGTTTCTTCTTTTTTGAATAAGAATAAGATATATCAGATTGATAGAGATGTAATAAAAATGCGATCCTTTAGCACTCATTTTGTCAAAAAAGAAACCTTTCCCAATCCCCACGAATAGGAATAGGATAATACTATGTTATTCCCTTTACTTTTATTGGCCATATTGACTTTGTTTGTTGGGTCCGTAGGAATTCGTTTCGATCAAGGAATAATGAACGTTGACATGTTATCAAAATGATTAATTCCATCAATATCAATGGACCTTTTCATGAGTATTTGAATCTTTCGATGGATTGGTATGAATTTGCACAAAATGCAATTTATTCGGTCAGTATAGCTTTTTTTGGAATATTAATAGCCAATTTTTTATATGGGTCTATTCATTCATCATTCTAAAATTTGGACTTAATCCAGTCATTTGCAAAGATATATACTAAGACAATAATCTTTTCGGACCAAGCACTAAATGTCATATAATCGCGGTTACATAGGACATAGATCTTTATTATGCAACAATCTTAACTAGAGGTATTCGAGGATTAGTTGAATCCACGCATTTTTTTGATCAACGGATAATTGATGGAGTCATGCAGTTGGTATTACAAATTTCTTTGTAGGAGAAGCGATCAAATATATGGCGGGTGGAAGAATCTCTTCTTACCTCTTTTTTTCATTATCCCTTGTATCACTAGGCCGTATTTTAGTATATTTTTATTTGTATTTTTTAGTCTATGTCTATGTTTATTTAGTCTATATTTAGTCTATCTATATTGAAATTAAGCATTCTTTTTCATCTCAATCATTGCATAATCTGACCCTTTTTTGGAGAACAATATCTCCCCGTATAGAGCTTCTATCCGATTTATGAACTCCTTGCTTACCTTATCCCTTTTTTGTTCATTTGTAGAAACCTAATGATTATACAGATTTTTGTCTTTGGGATATAGTTCTTTCATACTGTATAAAGACATTTTTTTTTGTATCATTTCCCCAAAAACCGTCAAACTGGGAGGATATGTGAAAGAGATTACTCGTTTTCCATCACTTGGATATGTGTTAAAAAAATATCGGGACATTTCATTTCTTACAGTATTTGCAAATTGATCATTTTCTATATATCGAAATGGTTGATTCCATCGTTGATAGTCGAAAAGAAAAGTAATAAAGGGTTTTTCAAACCAGAATAATTTTTTTTCTTCTTTAAGTTTAAGTGCTTTCAACTCCAAATCTTCTTGATTCCCATTTCCATATGCAGTATTATCTTCCTGATCCCGGTATACAGTTTTATTGTTATACCATTTTTCTTTGAGGTTGAAGTGATTTTTTGTTTTTTCTTCTCCATTCACTCTTTCTATTTCATCTATTTTGTCTTGATCCCCTTTTTCTTTCGAACAAGGGAAGGGTCTTCTTCTGTTGATCCCCCTTTTTCCTGTTCAGTCCTCTTCGCTTCGGAAGTTCTTTCTATGTCTACATATGTTTCTTCTTCAGTTTCCCCTGTTTTTGAGATTTCTTTCAATTTTTTAGGGAAAATAGGCGATGGTATTCTGCCTAAATAGTAGACACAGGTGACAAACAAGAGAATACTCAAGATTCGAGCCACAGACTTGACACAAGGTACTTAATGTACTTATTTGATCTAATAGAATGATTTTGCCGTATCCAAAATAATACCAATCCAACCCATTTTATGAATAAAATGTGACTGATTAACCAACCAATAAAACTACTTGTTACAAATAACATCTTGTTGTTTCATCGAAACATATAAATGTTGACTAATCTGGCTAACGTTGAACTTGGTAAAATGAAATGGTTGAATAATTAAAAAATGAAATGGTTGAATAATTAAAAAATGAAATTATTCAAGAATGCACATTGAAACAACATTTCCCATAGACATTTGACGTGCATCTTTGATTCTACATTTTAATGTTGCCACCTTATATAAACTTTTCCCATAATATTAAATGTTGTGCATGATGTATGGAGTGTGGAACATGGTGTGTTAAAGGCAATCGCACGTGTGTATTTATTGGCATATATATGGGTCTGCCATCGGCCTGGGCCGGCCGTAATCCAAGCCCTGCCCCGAGGAGAGTAGGGTAGGTTTGTGCCTACTGCCTTAGTTTCTTAAACCTCAGTCCCGGTCCGAGTTTATAGCTTTTTCACAATTTCACCCAAGGTTGGCCTTGGCTGAAAAATTGGGCTCGGCCTATAAACATATAAAAAATAAGAGTAATATAATTTATCTAAAATTTTTATCTAATATATAAAAGGAATTGGATGTGACCATCTTGTATTAAAGGTACATGGTTTTATTGTATACAATCCCATTTAAAAAAAAAAATTGAAAATTTTTAGGCCCGGTTGGGACAAACCAATCATTTCGAGCATAGAGCGTCTATCCCAAAAGCATGAGGGCCAGCCGAGGCCCATTTGTAGCCCTATTACTAATATTACATGCAACCCGGTGTTTGTATTTTATATAGCATGCTATTGTCATCAAGACTAGACTAGACCACCCCCTTAGTTGTAGGGGTGGCAATGGGTCTGGTTGAATCTGGATGGACCTTGGGCTCGAAAATATAGTGTGAGACTTGGACCTAGACTTATACCCAACTAGGTCCCAAGTTCCCTGACCCGGACATTGACCCAAACTGAAAGTATACAGTGGAAATTGGATCGGGACCTAGACCCATATCGATCCCGACTCAAAAATCAAAATATTTATACATTTAAATATATTTCATATATATATTATTTAAATATTATTAAAATGGGGATCGGGTCTACATGGACATTGACCCGGACTTGAATAGTATTTAGGGCCAAGATTTGAAGCTGAACCCGACCCATCGGGTCCAAATTTTGGATACCCCGACTTGAGTCGAGTCTAGGTCCATCCCTACCCAGTTGGACTTCAGAAATGGATAAAGAGACTAAAGACTTATTGGACGGCCTACTGGCACCTTTGGCTGGTATTAGTCTCTTAGTTTAGGAATGGACGACTTGAGTTCCATTCTTATTACTGATAGGGGGGTATCCCTATTGAACTACAAAAAACAATCTATTTCGGTCAAGGACTAATCAAAACTAATATTCAATTGGTGGTTGGCAATTATTTTTGTTTGACTACTAAAGGAGCACCAAACTTTTGCCAAAAAACTACACATTGTATACGTGGTCCAACAATGGAGAAGAAATTTATAGCAACTACCAAGTTTTCTTTATCTAAAAGATGGACAAGCTTTCTATACTTTTCCTACAACATAAAACTTATATACTTCCAATTATCCAACCCTCCATTCTAGATGGAGGGCTAAAATTGTCCCAATCACAATGCCACATCTCTATAATGTTTTTTTTTAATTTTTTTTTATAAACTATTTTGACACCAAATTTTGGATGTCCAATCCTCTATTAAACTCGCACTAGTGAAAAATATAGAACAAATATTTCCAATAAAATAAAATGACCAAAATGCCCCTAAAAGTTTCAAAGGGTATTTTGGTCATTATATTTTATTGAAAAATTATTTTTAATATTTTTTATAGGAGCGCCCTAATGAGAAGATGGAACATACCGAATTTCATATTCATGCAATTTGTATAAAAAAAACTAAAAATAAAATGCTTTGAGAACTAAAAATAAAAAACAACTAAAAATAAAAATCAAATGGTGAGTGGCTCTCTTGATCAAAATTACATGGCTCGATGGTAGGAGAAACATAGATCTTCTATATTGTGGGGAAGTATAGAAACCTTTCTCCTAAAAGAAAGGTTATAACTCATGATTCCTATGATTAAATCACTTCAAATTTTTTATATGCATCTCCCCTCTCACCTAGCTATATATATATATATATATATATATATATTGATA